CAATATATTATTTAACACATTCACGCCGATGGCCGCCCATATGGGCTGCCAACAACATGCGCTCCTGGGACGATGGCAGCCCATATGGGCTGCCAACTGATAATCGCTTGCCAGGCGCTAGGAATGGACAGATAGGTGGGCAAACCTCGTAATCGAGTGTAAAATGCTTTTAAATTCCTTCACGGGGAAAGTGAATAAATGCTCTCTTTTCGTAACCACTATTTGTCGTTCTGATCGAAATCCTACTGTTATATGTTTAGATAATCTTTACGCATTGGACATTGCAGAAATTATTTTGTGACATTCATGTTTTTGTTCATTTACAATCGCGTCCGTCCCACGCGACCGAAAAGTGGAAAAGGGGGTCGTCGTGAATGTGTTAACTACCTTGGCAACTAAACAACCCTTTGAGAACTGAACGGCTTGGTTTGCGTTCTTTGTGTTTGAAGTGTATCTCGAACTACTCGAAAATATACTATTTTGTTGGCTGAGAGAATATTCTGTTTCTCGAGAACTATTTCTGATGATTGAGAAGGATTTACGTTCGGGAATGAAGGAGGCCATGCTTTATCTGTGGGGTGTCCAGCTTGATATGAAAAGGATCCATTTTGAATTGAACAATGTCCACGGTCATTTGAAAAAAATCCGAGTCGAATTGAAAATTGTCCTGAGCTATTTGAAAAATCTCCGGGTCGAATTGAAAAATGTCCACGATTTTTTGAAAAACAGCAACTTTGATTTGAACGATGTCCATTTTCAAGTGGAAATGGTATATATCTCCGGAGCCAAGGCGCTCTATTAATGAATTAAAATATAAAATTTAAGTTTTTGCGAAAGAAAAGCTTCGAATCGCAGGCAGTGAGCGAATAATGCACTGGTGCAACTCAAGTCTCCAACTAGTTACCAACAGGGGGGGGGGTCGTATCGGTGCGCGAAAGGGGAGTTGCACTTTTCGTTCTGCATAGTGTCATTGTGAAAAGGGGTCGTATTTGAGGTTGAGAGAGGGTTTAGGCAATGCCTGAGAAGTCGAAGAGTAGAGGGAGTTGTTTTCGAAAGGCTTTCTTCAAATGGAAAACCTGTCTAGGTTTGATAGTGGTGATGGAGGATTGTCCCGGAACTCTCCTCGGTGTGATGTGGGTGTCGTCGTGCTGCGAAATTCCCTCCACCGTTACGGTTGGTCCTGCCTGGGGAGTGTGAGAGATCAGGGAGAAGCGATAAAATTTCAGAAAAATTTTTATTAATTTATCTCCCATTCAGTCAATATACTATTCAATATATATTACTATAATCGAATAGAATACTACATAACGTCCAAGACGTGGGACATATACGAAAATATTCCGTAGACCCCGAACTCTGCCGTCTACCCTGAGCCGTGGCCATGAACGGCCGACGGGCACTTGGCCGTAGCCACAACTCAAGACACATTTATTGTACATTAGACGATGTCGTGTCCGAGAGGAGATAATCGGATATACACATAAAAAACAGCCTAAACAAAATATACACAAAAAATCTATAAACTACAAGCAAATAAACAAGCCAAGAAGACCGCGCGCATGCGGTTTGAGAGGAATTCCTAGTGATTACTGATCAGCGCACATTATCAGAATAGCGATAAACGAAGCACACTCAGTGGCATAATGGACCCGCACAGGTAAACTAATTGAAAGTCCTAAGTGTTTGACACAAAAGCCATAGCTCGATAGGTTCGCTGTAGCTATGATTCGCACCAGTACTGAGCTGAGGTATGCGAAAAGGAATAGACTGAAACGGGTGCGTGGCTTACTCCAAACGCAGCTATGGTAGCGCAAAAATCGCGAAAAGTTTTACAATCAATAAATAAGTTCTTACTATGTACAAGCAATATTAATAATTATTACGTGCGATAGAAATCCTCTCCGAATTGATATTCAAAATACACACACAAGCAGGTCCTAACAAAATGAGATCACAGGGTGTATTGCGAACGGACGACGCCGTTTTTAGGCGATTGTCAGGAGAACTGCAACTGCCTCACGGGCGCCAACGGCAACGGTTCTGGCGTCTTTGGGGCAGGGGCGAACAACGGACGTCTGGACGGTCGCGATGGACCGGGATTCGACGGCGAATCCAAGGCCCCTTCGGAGAGTTGTCGCAGACCCATACGTGATTGAGGACTGAAAAAAGCGGGGATTAAAATCATCAGCCTACAGAGCTGGCGAAATAGTTCAACAGAAGTGACGTCAACCACGAGTAAAATATTAGTTAAAAAAATAAAGATAGATATTGAGCGATAAAATTAGTCTAGCCTTTTGGACGTAGGACGTTAAATTTTATTATGAATCCCTAACCCTTATTGAACCTTTTCTTCCTAACCCTTTATTGTTCTCACGGACAGGCAGTCGCAAATGGGAGATACGTGATCCGTAGATCAAATCTCGGCGAACCTCGCCCAGTTCAATGAACCTTCTCTTACGGGGTCATTTATTTGGTTCCAGGCTCGCCTGATAAGTGAGCAAGAAAAGTTCTTCAGCTATTCAGCACCTAGGCAAAGTGATCATTCAAACGCCACGAATGTTATGAACAAAAAACGACCGCACGGCGCATCCCGGAAGGTGGGGGGGATGCAATGACGGTGCTCTATTTGATGGATGCTGAAGGAAATCCACCAAAATCCAGGGCATATTGCTGGGGTCATGCTGAGGACCCATCAGCGCTATACGCTACGACCAGCTGGTTTGGAGAGGGTGTCGGTTTGAAACGGTGCGTCAGTGTGAGGATCGACATGGACGGAATCGCGTTTGGTATTCTTTGAGGTACAGAAAGTAACTGACAGTAATTCGTTAAAGTTGGGCCCATGAGGTGATATCCCAGGTCCAAATCACAGTATGTAATGGGAAGGAGCTACCATGTGAACGCAAAGAGGGTACTAGCTTTGCTAAGTTCCTGCTTACACCATTAGGTTACAATCATCCCTAATGGCGTGAGCAATGTGAGTGTAGAAGCAAGAGCGCTTCAGTTCAGAGCAGCCCGGGGATTTCCAAAAGTTGGAAATTCTGCAGGTAGCAGCAACTGTGGCACCGCATGTCCCCTTTACTGGATGATACCCGAGGTTAACTGGGACACAAAAACATCGTCTATGACAATCACTGTCTCAACATGGGCTACAGTCCAACTAAGGGGCTTCTTAGCAATGGCTTTTTTTTGAGTTGAGAGGAAACGACTGAGATACACTACCCTCTCAGTACCGTAGCCTTTACACGACTTCTGCAACACGCGCAACCCTATAAAACTACCAACCCTCGGTTTGGCAATGTTTCCCTCTTTTGAAGTGCTAAGAGATTAATGTTGAACTATAATCTTCTTCCCAAACGTCCGTAATACACTGAACAGAACTAAGCCGTTCAAGAAACACGTTATTAGAAAAATTTAGCTAGGCTGGAAACGGCCTTTAAAAAATCAATGAATCACATAAGATATAACGAGGAAAGATGATACCATTTTCAAAATCAATAATAAAATTGAGTGAAACAAACTTTGGCACTACTTATTGTCATGTCAAAAAAACTTACGGTGCATTCTTCGAGCAAGTGCTGTTTCCCCAGCTTTTCTTGTGGAAATTGTATTGCCTCAGGTGATGAGCGAAACGACCGTCGACCATCTCCACATAATTGCATGGTTCGAATAAATGCTGAAAGCTGAATGGCTTCAGAAGAGCGCTGATGACGACGACGAGAGCGGTGACCCCCCGCTCGTGCGGGTTCCCAAGGTCGTCACGGTTAGCCATTGCAACATTTTATGTGCTCATAAAATCGCTTTGAACGAACCGAAAATGGAAGGCATTGGCCAACCTTGTCCGGCGTTGAATCGGCGAATGTCTCGAAAAAGTTGCGGTAGCCTTTATCGACGACGTAAATCTCTGGGAAATCCACTTTTGGATAAACATCCACATTTCGCTGTCGATCGACACTTCGCAGTGTTTGAGCCCTAAAAGGAGGCTGATTTTAGTGCCGAGAAATCGTCTAAAAGGGTTCAGTTGCTTACATTGAAGGACCGCGCTTCTGGCTGTATTCACAGTAGAAGATCGGTATCCGACTGTGAATCTCGGCGCGATGCAACGAGTTGGACGGGATAGAACACCTCCTCGCATTTGGTCGTGTCAAAAACGTTGATGGCGCCCTAGAATCTCACGTTAGAGAACCCATAGTAGTAAGTACGAGAGCTGGACAATGACCTCACCTTTATATGGCCCCCGTTGAACTCGTACGGGTAGCGGCAATCGACCAGCACGTACTTCTCGTTGAATTCCTGACTACTCATAGATTTCATTAGTCGCGAAAGCGTTCTCGCATCGATACGACGGAACGCTTGCGAATCGTTGTGGTGACCGTCTCGAGGTGGTACTTCTGAAACGACGATTGAATCCAGGGTCATCGAAGGCCTGGGGAACTGAAGACGAACCACTTCGAGGAACTGGAGGCGAGTGATGGCCGACTTCAAGCACAGAAGACGACTGAACTCTGAGCATCATCGACGGTCGTGGCGGTCGTGGTGCTGCTGCAGAACAGCTCGGAACATTCTGAAAAATGAACTCTCATTTTGAAAACAGCTGTGCTACCAGGACCATTGAGCAGTACCTCATGTTCCTCGATCGTCTCATCAACACGATTTCGTTTGTACTGCAGGAAGGTGGCTTTCAGGGCCCGTTTTCGGTTGTTGTGCATGCTCACGGCGCGACATTGTGGCTTTGCGAACACCGACTTCCGCGATTTGGGCGATTCTATTTCGAAAATCCGCGGGCTAAAATTTTACAACCTTATTTCCTGGCCTCGTGACAGCCTATTTTTGGCCAAATCAGCTTCGCCTGAGGGCAAAAGTGACCTGCCTGTGCCACAACATACCTGTTGGTGACATCGGCGAGTCCCTTACGCATTGATCTCATATTGCTAAGCACTGTTTTCACTTCAAGCTCTTCTTTCTTTGAGCAAATCATATTCGTTGTTTGAATCTTTAAAGATTCTTCAATGACTAGATCGTCCATTTCCATGTCCAAATTTTTGAACTGAAAAAAGTATTTGTTTTCGTGCTATGCATTGACCCTAACTCATCTGGTGTCCTGATGCTCACACTTGGAATGACCTAATGCGTTCCTCAAGAAGTAATTATGTGCGGCCCCTTACCGCATGTGGTATCGTGGCGGTGTCCAAGGTAAACAACGAGCGGACCCAGACGAGAACGAACAAAAAACTCAACGGCAACAGCAACTCACTTGGAATGACGATTTCTTAAGAAGCGATGGATGGGCGAAGTCCACGGGCATGCTATCACAGTCCATCTCACCGAAACCCGAATCTCGGGAGCTCTCGTCTGTTTCTCGCAACGACGAAAGCATGTCTGAAAATGGAGAGAAATAGAAAGCGGATCCTGGGAAAGTTAACTCAGGACAGACGAAGATGGTGACCAGACCTGGGATTGAATCAGGCATAGCCGAATATTTAGCCGTATTCTCAGCACCAATAAGTATTTACTTAGCTTTTGTAAAGCTATTAGACATTGAATGTCCCAGTGACCTCAGAATATATGTGCGGTGGCTGCAGATGGCGCAAGAGGTTGGTGGCTAGTACACCTGAACCAAGATGGCCCAACCTTCGCCCAAGCCTCCGCGCCCGCCTCGCGACCTGAGACATGGGTGGAGATTGCCGCTGGGACCAGCTCCCGATGGCACAACCCTGCTATCCGATGGGGATACGATAATAGCAGTCATTCAAACGTCAGGTGACGAGGTATGCCTACAGCAATACTCTGAATTAGACAAAGAACTCACACTTCCTGGGCTTCTTAGAAAAATCTTAAAAATGCCAAGGGTAAAATTCAAAGGCCATTTAACATTTGAAGGTTTCGCGGTGGCTGGGTGGGCTCTAATATGAGCCCAGCTAATGAAGTTAGTTAAGTTACTCTGGAATTCAGAAAGCAAGAATGGCAAATCTCTTACAGCTCTTCATTCAGTGCACTCTAAAGGAGCCCAGTGGTTGCTGTATCAAAGTTTATCTCAAGCATCAGGGCCGTGAAACCCTTCTGAGCATGTTTCTAGAGGCTTGAGGAATTCCTCATCACTTGAAAAAAATTAACCCCTTTGTTTGGCCATGGAGCATGACTTCCTAGATTGGGCAACGAAGGTCTCAAGCCTTCTTGAATTGCCCCTACCACACAATCAAATCGAAGTACAATCAATTTTCTAGCTGCTTTTTGATTTCCTGAACCCAAATTTAAGCTAAATCGTCTGATTTTGAGATATGTCTGTGGACTATGGAATTGATCTTAGAGGAGCTGCATATTCTAATGAAAGGACAGTAATCGAGCAAATTTCGAGAGAAACAATTCAAATGAGACTGATTTACTTTAGCAGTGTGAACATGGCTGTTACACGACGATGGCTGCTGAAGACTAATGAAGGTCGCTGCGGAGCGGAGTAGATAAGAATTTGCGAGTTCACACATTGTGGGCCATTGCCCTGCACTAGCTCATCTATCTTGAAGGACAACCGTTCGTGGGTATTTTCCAATGTGGAACTCTTCAAAATCCATAGGAACATGGACCTATCGGGACAGGGTGTCAAGTAGGTTAGGTAATCCCGAGTTGGGCTATTGCAGTTCAACAGAACGAAAAAGGGTGCGCATTGGAAACTTGGTTTGGTAAATGCTGAGCTTGGAATGTATTCAATATTGACCAGCATTTGAAAAGTAGAACGCTCGAGAGTGTTTTGTTACCCGTTTCGTTATGATTAGCTTTATCTACAACACATATATACATCACTAGTTTTTATTATACTTAACAATTTTCACAGCGCCTGAAGGTGATTTCAAAAACTGTTGAAGATTGGCCGATTGTTTTGATCGGATTCAAAAATTCAAAACTTAATTCAATCAAGTTTTTATAAGTGTCTGTTTTGTGTAGGACAGGATAAGTTGTGGAAATAATAAATTGCTCATGCCTTAGCGTTTCCGGCTGGTTCCTAAGCTTTGGTCACAAAGTAGAACACCTAATTATTCATCAGCTTCTGTTTGTAGTAACAGTAAATACGAACTGCAGGGTTTTAAAGTCTTACGCTCGCATTTGCAAAGCACTCTTCTTCATGAAATTTCTGAAAAATGGCGAGCAAAAGGCTGTAGAGAGGAAAATCGCGGCCCGACTAACTTTACGATACGTAAGCAATTTGGCTTCTTTAGTAATCCAACCCAACAGTAATATTTCTGGTACTGTAAGCAGTAGTAGAAACAGCAACAAAAACCTAATCGGCACCGGGTAGTTTTCCTCTTTTTATTGAAACGCAAAACCAAAATGGTACCGATTGGATATTTGTGGAAAGTTAAGTTTCCAGGAGCATGGTCAACCTTATGTCTTACCAAGAGGTATTGTCGATTTTTGGGGTGGGTAGGGGAAGGGAAGGAAAGTCGTGTTCAAAAATGACTCTCTTCAAAAAATTCGAGAGGGGGATCATATTGCATTTTTTTTGAAATCTGTCCAATGGACAATTGACTCCGGCCTATAGCCCACATTTGATTCTCGGAGTGGTTTAGAAATAGCTTGCTTCGTAAAGGAATACTATGTAGAACGACTGGCTGATCCCTTGGAGTCCCACAGCTATACGTCTTATGGTCGTTCCATAGAATTCTATAATTTTCCGTTTTTTTTCTCTCTTTTTTCTCTTTCTTTTTTCGGTCCTTTTTTGTTACCACAAACAGCTTTTTCATGAAAGTATTTAATAATGCCTTAGCACCTTGTTCCTAAGAGTTAGCAGAGAAAAACTCAACACTCATGCTCTAATGGGAACATTTAGCAATAACTCGTATAAATCTCCCAATTTTAGAGAGGGGAAAGAGCTCTGGTCAGAAGGACCACTTCTTTCGTGCGAAAACAACACTACGAAACGCGAAAGATCGATTTATTTCCCTTCAAAAAAAGTTTTTTTCCTTCGCAATTCAGATAGCATTTATAAGTTTGAACGGTTAAATGAAATATAATAACTGGCGTGTTTTTTTTTAACTCCTCGTATGCGCTGCACCAAAATGTCCCCTCTAGCTACATGTGCCCCGAGAACTCACCCCGTACCCCAGAGGAACCTCTTTTCAGAAGTCAAACTGTTACCAGAGGTCCTTTAGATTTTCCGCTCACACCCCAGCGAGGATTAGTTTTTGCACTCGAGATGGCTATCTTTGCCATAGGCATTCATAACCGAAGGGGTTCAAGGTCAGTTGAGCCGTCTGCTAAACAACGGGCTCCCAGACTAACACCGACATATTTAGGGACCCAGCGAGAGCGACGAGACAGTAAATACAAACTTTTTTGGGTTAATCTGATGGACATCATTAGGGTTATAAATCAACTGCACAATAATAAAGTAATCATCCATAAAGGTATGAGGAAAACGGAAAGGAAAAGATAAGGGAGAATTGAATGGAAGTCGCTCCATGGGTTCGCTTTGTTCTTATTGGAGATCACAGAAGGTCAAACTAAGTGTCTTTTCCCCATGGGAGGTCTCGGAGGGAAGATTTCCCGAATCAGCCTTTTTCTCTAGCATTCACTCTTCTTCGGATAGGAGAGTGAATCGATAAATATGATCGTAAAGGTTCCCATGTCTCCTATAGGGTACTACAAGAAACCGAGGTTCTAAATTGTATCCTCAAGTACATCGAGGCGATCCAGGGTGCCGATGAGTACCCAACACCTCGCAATGACCTGAGAACTTTCTCCATAAAGATATGTTCATCCACTGGGGGGCATTTCACTATCAATGCCAAGGACAGGTTTGCTTGGTGCGAATTCAAACTAAAGACGTGCTGAATGACGCTTCTCTGGAGCTCCGAGGAGGATTCCCGAGATAATTACGGGCAGATTCCGATGCCCGACCACCTGCCGTATCTTTAGATCTACACCTGTAGCTATGTCGCAACACGAGAGCCACCAAAAACGCCGACAAGCAATTTAATTAGGCAGCTCATAGCCTGCCTGGGCTGTACGGTCCTTTTCGGATGTCATTCTTCGAAGTGAGCTCTGACGAGCCGACAATCATCCACTGATGTCGATTCACTTTTGACGCGATGCTGAGTGCTAAGTGCGAGAAGGCCACGACACCCGCGCCCCTGTGGCAGCATTGCAAATTGAACTCGGCTAGTCGTAAAGCCAGGGGTTTTAGCGACCGAAATGACCTTTGCTGGGTTAAAAAACCGAGTTCAGAAACCACTACCAGCAGTAGCACAGGGTCGCACGGTCACTCTTATCAAAACTGTTGATCCAAGGACAACGACGACGATGGTCGTCAAGCGGTTACACCCCTGCCGACCACGACCACGGACCCCGGCGCAGCACAAAGAGTTTTGTTTGAATTTCCTCCACACCTCATCACTTTGATTCTGATCGCTAAGCCGAACAGGTGTGGACAATCTCGAATGACCCTTTCAGCCCCGTGATTGACCTGAACAGCAGTTATGGAATGTTTGAAGAAGACAGAAAGTACTTGTCCTTTTTTTGGGTCACCCCCTGTCACTCTGAGAACTCTCAACAAATTCGAGGCGACAGCTCCGTAGCGATGGTCGACCCGGCTTCTTTTGACCTCAACAAAGGCATCTTGGAGTGATGTAATCGTCGAACAAAAGGAGACAACCCGGTCTGGGCTGTCCGAACAACAAAACAACACCACCTAGGGTGTACCGTATACAAAGCCTGAAAGTCTTCAAACCACGGAAGTCGCACGACTATTGCTTTACAATTCGAAAAACTGGCTACTCCCAAGCTACCCTGTTTATCCGGGGTTAGGTTACCGCTGTTGTGCAATGATCGAATCCCAAGTGGTTCGGCGAACTGTTGGGGCTAAGAAATCTGAGTGGCAGACTTCGCAACAGACACCTTAACGCTGGATGGGCCGTTAGCTCGGTAAACAAAGAATTGACGCAAAAATCTCAATGGAGAGTTGCGTTCACGTTAGTTGAGACATTATTGGGTTGCGTCATCGGAGATGTGCGCATGAGATCTCGGGAGGATTCGAGCAATGACGATATAGTCGTCCTTGATGACATCATTATTAATTTTCTAAGGTTGAAGAGCGTAAGGCGGAAGTGGTGTAGTGGCAAGTGGCACGCTTACCACGCGAGCGGTCCGGGGATCAAATCCTGGGTCGTGAGTCGCCCGGGCCAACCAAGCCTTCCATCCCTCCGGGGTCGGTTAATTGGTACCAGACTTGTCTGGGAGGATAAAAACATTGACTTGTACATCGGTTG